CCGCGGACCATGTGTCAGGGGTGGAAAATGGCCGCGGACCACGTGTCCGGGCGGGAAAATGGCCGCGGACTGTGTCACGGGAGGGAAAATGGCTCCGTATCCTGTTCATACCCCAAGGCAGAGTTCGCAAACCGAAGCAAAATTTTGCAGCCGGAGCTGGTCGTAACCCAAAAAGTTTGTTAACAGAAGCGTTCGTAACCCGAGGTTCCACTGTAAATCCTTCCTTTGAGATTTTACAGAAGAATTTTATTTAGTTACAACAAACTTTGTCTTAAAATGGATTGAACACACAAGAACAAATTTGTTATGCAAGGAGAGGAGGCAGGAAACCTGCTTTCTTGAAGACTGCACTTTAAAAGACTTACAAATCAAGCCTATACTTTAATCAATATTAAGTATGAATGCTGTCCCAGTTTACCATGCTTCCTTAAAGAAGCTTGATGGAAAGTCTTCATGACTTTGGAACGTGACAATAATTGGTCATAGTCCTTTCCTGGCCAAAAGAAATGCCTTTCTTTCTGTCAGTATTCCTGCATAGCAACCTTCGGGTGTTGCCAAGATAAACAAGAAGCACCTGTCCACAGTGCTCTGTTTCTTAGAAAAGCAGTGCTTTCAAAACGATGCATAATAGCCTTTAACTGATAAGCTGACAAATCAAAGCAAATTCTAAAAATATTAGCATTGCAAAAGGTAGTTAACTGTGTATTAACCTGGAAAGATGTTCACATTCAGAATAAAATATAATGGCAACTAAAGGCTTTTGAAGTTGTGATTTCATGTATTCTTGCATGTGTATAACTATTGTTAAATTTAATAGGGCTTATTTCTGAGTAGCACATTAAGGATTGTACTAAACAGTTTGTTACCCCAATGCTATGCAAGTAGCCATGTCATGCAGTGGGACTTGCCTTCCTTAAACAGTGACTTTCCTCCCCACCCACCTCTCTCCTTCAGATTTGAAAGAATCCATTTTACTGATTGATACTATACTATTAGTAGATTGAAATTGTTGGGTACATTTCTCTGTTTGTAAATTGTGCCATAAAACTGCTCAATTCTATAGCACTGCAAAAAAAAAGAGACAGTCTGGTTATATTTAAATTCCTGTCTGCAATCTACTTCTAAAGTAGCTATTTTTGGAAACCTCAGTGCAGATGTTGAGCAAAACCATTGCCCAACTTAACAATGAAATACTAATTAAATATTAACTATTGTAAGCCCTAATGATAAACTGAAGGATGAAGATTAAATTCTGTGAAAATAATGTTTTAAGAGTTAACAGTGGTGTGTAATAGAATCATCAGTGTGCTTGAAATGCTTCTGTAATTTCACTGTCCAAGGGCAAACTTAAATAAATAATAATCATTCTGCAGATTTTCAGCATGATTCATATTTAACCAAGAAAGGTCAACTGTCTGACAATTTTAAATAAGTAGTTTTCAATGTTCATATTTAAACTTTTTATACTCAATTAGTATGATCAATGTGCTTTCAGGTGTAAGATATGCAAATTAAGTTATCATAGCTATTTGCCTACTTTTGGCATACTTATTTCCATGGTCTTGATACATATTTGATAAAAAAAAAAACTTCCTCTACGCTGCAGGCAAACTTGTGCCTGGAAAGATTTATCATTTGCTTATCTTGTCTGAATATTTAATATTGACGTCATCATGTTAGTTAAGACTCTGCATCAGGCTGCAAATGAAACTCAGACTTGGTTGGACACGGCTTCAGTTACTTGAAGTTGAATGGCTGATAAGTCAAATGATATTTTGGGCTATTTTGGATGTATTGGTGCTCAAGAAAGATCTTATCTTAGCTAATGCAAATTGTTTTTGGGAGGTAAGATTTATTTCTAATCTGGGAATTTTGGTGGGAAATTTGTTACAAAAATGTTGAACAAGAGAAGTTTGCTTATTAACAGCACAGTGACAGAACTGGACAGACTGTAATTCATTTATTACTTTAAGCCTATTAAAACATGTCTAATGTAGCAGCCAAAAAAGTTTGAGTAAAGCCACAGTTTAAGAACTCTGAAAACGTAATTAATCTCCTGGCCTTTTTTATGGCCTGCCCAGAATAGGATGAGTTTAAATTTAGGAGAAGATTTATAACTATTCTATTTTCAATTTATTTAGGAATAAAATTTCTAATATTCTTTTTCTTTTTTGTGTCTTTGAGACTGTCTTGACCGCTGTCTGGACTAGTCCCTGCAGTTTTCCTGGCAGCATTTTTGAAAGTGGTTTGCTAGGGCTAAGAGAGAGAGACTTGCTCAAAGTCATGTAGCTGGCTTCATGCCTAAGGCTGAACCAGAACTCATGCTCTCCTGGTTTCTAATCTGGTGCCTTTAACCACTATACCAAACTGGCTCTCATTCATTTCATTGCTGTAATATATTTGTGACAAATACTGTAAGTGTAACAGAATAATTAACATTTTTTAATTTATTTGTTGGGAGTAAGGATGGAATTTAAATTATTTTAATATTTATTAAAATATTAAAGTAGAAATAAGTTTCTCTCATCTTTTTTACTGCTAAGTTAAAATGACATAATGTTGATATGAAGATACATAATTTGCCATGTTGGATAGTACAGAAAAATATTATTTGGGGGGGATAAATATGCTAAGTACATTGCTGGTATCCAGAACTATACATAAATTGTCAATCCATAAATTTAAAAAATCAGTACCCATTAATCTCAACAAGGTTATTGTTTATTTGCCATGAAAATGATCATATTTCAAAAGCTTCCATTCCTTAAGAAAGGGTTCCATTTTATACATTTCCGTAATTACTGGAGACAAACACTCTGTTGTTTTAAAATACATTTTATTGAGATGAAAACCCTTTACTTAAAACTAACTGAAGCCCAGGAAGATTGAACATGATAAGGCAAGATTTCCAGTCCTCCAGTTCCACTCCTTTCCACTACCTGGACTGTCACCAATTCTTACATTGAAGTCAGGCATCAATCATCATGTTTGCAAATCACAATAATTGGGTTCACATATCCTACTAGCCCCAAATCAAGGAAACCTCATTATGGTTGAGCATCATAAGTGTAACCAGTCATTGTATCTGCAATTAATTGGCAGGCCATCCCCCACACCCACATTTACCGACAATTAGCCAGCAGCCAGCCAGTGCCTGAGTCTGAATACAAATCTTCAGTGATGAGTTCCTTTGTCACATAGACACAAGGAAATAACCCCAACTCCTCCTCAAGATGGAGATAAAAAGTGCTCATCTTTTTAAGAACCAAGAGTGGTTGAACTTCAGAGAAGCTGGGTATTGTGGCTAGGGAAAGACAGGAAATCATGTTCTCCAGATAACAGGAAAATCTACAGGAAGATGGAACAAAATCCAAGAAAGTGAGCAGGGAACTTTAGCTTCAGACCCAGCCATCCTGAGCAATTGGTAACAAATCTAGTTAGGAATTAAGCATTCAGTTTAACTTCTGTTACTCTGTGTGGTTAAGTCCACTCTCTTGTCTCTGGTATTTTTGTTTTCTGTACATGCTCTGTAAATTGTGTATTTTTATGTAACTCTTTACAGCAGAGTTCCTCTAATTAAGGGGCAGATCAACATATTGTCTTTTATGGGGCTTTTTGGCATCTCTTCATTTGTATCTCCTTTCCATTTTAACTGATTCCATTTAGCTCATTTCCATTTTAGCTGTGATTACTTAAAGTTAAGCATTTTTGTTTGTTTGTTTTTATTTTTATTTTTTTTAAACAATGTTGGATTTTATTCATCCCTTGTGAGATTAGTCTATCTCTCCATAAAGGAGGAGGGGCTAATTTCCCTAGCCATGAGCCTCAAAACTACAGGACTAGAGATGTTTATAGAATTTATCTAATTGTTTCTCTATCCCACCCTTTTATTTTCCAATCAAGCACACAGGCTGTAGAAGCCCTATCTCTCTCCCATGCCAAAGTTAATATGGTGGGGAAGGGGAAGGGTAATCTAGATGGGTAGACCCTGAAGACTTCTGGGATAAGAAATTGAGACCTCCAATCTTTCAACCTGTGAACTTAGTCTTATGTCTCACATTCCCCGTATCTGTCATAGTAGCCATCACCTGTGAACAGATCTGCTTCTCCCTCACCTCAACCAAATTTCTCTTCTTATTCTTCCCAGCTCAGAAGATGTGCTTGAGACAGGGGTGAGAAAAGTCAAAGTGCTCTGCATTGTCTTATTTCCTGTCTTGCCTTTCTTGAAAACCCCTGGAAATCAAAGGACTTGGGTCCTCTCTTTCTCTCATAAGGAATAGAGTTCATTTTTCACAGCTCCAGGTCCAGCTAAAGTTGCAGAAAATTCAGTTAGGGCTTCCATTTCTGGGTTATAAGAATCAAAGCTATAAGATGACAGCAAGTAATTACAATTTTCTTCTCTTTATTCTGCCATCGAGTGACCATTCAAATTTTTGCAGCCCAGGTATTGTAGCCCTAACTCAGTATTTTTATTCTTTCCCCAAACTGAAACATTCTTCAGACTATTTCTTTGCTTCTCCCACCAATTGGAAAGTGCCTTTTTCTAAAAAGTGAAGCTGATGATTAGGCTGTAATCCATGAACATTTATGCCACAATACTTTTAAGATGCTACCAATGTCATTATGGAATATTCAAATTTGTCAAATATTACTAACTGGTCACATTTTAGATGAAATCATATAGCTCAAGATAATCCAAACTCAAGGTAATATAGTTCTTCCTGGAATTGCTTCCTGAAAGGGGATGAGTAGCATTGTTCCATCATGTTGGGTTCCCAACAGTAATACTGTCCACCTAGTATTAGAATAATTATCCAGTTTAGCCCCTCCTGTAATGTTGTATCAAGTCCAGAACTTTAGTCTTCCCCATGAAAATTAGTAAAAGCTAACCATTTGATTACGTTGCAGAAATAAAGTAATGCATTCAGAGATCCCACTATAATATGAGCTGTCAGGCTGATTATCTAGAGGTTCTACTGTGCCTCCCTCTTAATTGTGATCCATTTTTGTTTTGTCCTATAGAGCTTGTTGAAAAGTAAGCCAAACTTTCTCCATATAATCTTCCATATAATGTGAGAGTCCAAGGCAGTATTTTTCAACCTTGGTAATTTGAAGATGTGTGGACTTCATCTCCCAGAATTCCCCAGCCAGCATATTGGCTGGGGAATTCTGGGAGTTGAAGTCCACACATCTTCAAGCTGCCAAGATTGAGAAACACTGGTCCAAGGAATGTTGACCATATACGAAACATTCCATGGAACACTCTTCAGGCATACTGTATCTTCCTTACAACAATCTGTACATTAACTCCACCTCCATTCATCCTGTTCTTGTAGGGCTCATGTTGATAGTAAACATCAGATGGGTAGAATAATAAGCAAGCAAACTTGATCCTTTGAAGGTCTCTGTGTGACATAAGATACTGAAGGTTCCATCTCAATATGAGAAAGACAAAAAGCATGAGAAATCGAGCTTCTGAAATCATTAAAAGAGGTATTTTGAAATGTGTAGAGCATATTCTGTATGAAGCACCTTTTTTCGAATTGTTAAAGCAGCTGCATCTTTTTCTAGGCTAACATAGCTGTTCCAAAGTGGATCCTAGCTGTTTCTGCTGGGAATGAAAATAAAGGGCAGAGTCAGTGTGCTGTTGCTTGTTAGGAAGAAACAGAATACCTGGACAGAGCTTGTTATTCACAACCAGTGGACATGTAAAGGACAGAGCCAAAAGGAGGCCACCAAGAGGAAACTATCAGCAATCTGGTACTACAAATTAGAATTTAGTATTTCACCTGGAAATGCTGCCAGTACAAATTAGAGAAAGGGGGCAGGGGGAGAGAATCCCTGTCCTCAGACTTACAATCTTAGAAGACCTAGCATGAAGAAAAAAAGAATGAGTTGAGAAAAGAAAAATAAATGTACTTAAGTACCCGTTCTTAATGCTATAAGAATTTCAGTCTTTTCCTTTGCTGGTGAATGGCTGTTCCATGATCATCAGGGGAAGGGCAAAATCTTGACAGAGCTGTCTACTTTCCTTCTCTCTTTTATGAATCATATCCTCAGGTCATCAGGGTGATGTGGGGGTGGGCAGCTTTTTGAAAATAGGGGCACCACTCTCATTGAGAAAAATCCTGCTTCCAAGGACCATGGCTAATAATGTAAGAATGGGGAGGGGCAATTTTTTAGCCCACTTCTCTTGGGTGGTGGTATTATTAAGCTCTGCTTAATTTTACCTCTGGAAATAAGTAAAGGGAAATGCGCAACTGAAAATCTTACAGTCATTATACATGTTTTCAGTATAACCTCTCTTTCCTCAGATTTTAAAAAAATGATAATAATTCAGTTACATATTTCAAAGAAATTACTCCAAGATTTCCTCAAATTGGCTAAGCAAGCGCTGCATTCAACTATTTCTTATTGAACAGAATGGATACAGTACGTTCCTTTTTTACTATCTGATATATTTTCCAAATATATGTAATTTCCTTGCCAAATGGAGTTCCTTAATCTTGCACTCATAATCACTTTGGAATTGCTCAACAAATGCTCCATTCTAGAATGTTCCATTTGTTTCCAGTAAAGATGCACAATCATGTTGTCTCTCCAAACATTTGGCATTCCTGAAATATTTTATAAACACCCAAGTGTATGAGTGGAGGAACTTCTTACATTGTTGCTGATTTTTCAAAATCTCATGGAAAGTCCAGGACCATTTGAATACAAGCTATTCACATTTCTAAATCAGCTAAAAATTGTACCTCCTGTTCTGGGGTGCAAGTGGGAAAAAAAAAAGAAGCATATGAACCATATTGGATTAAACTGAAGAGCAAATGTCTGCTTTGTTTGAT